CTGAAGATCCACACGCCATCGACGGCGTTAGCCCTAGGAGGGGGAACTGCATAGATGTAAGTGACTATGGATTTCCAAGACGTCATCTCTGAGTCCATGGCTGCTTTCCACTGAGAGGCCCACGGCCTTGACACTCCCCTACAGTACGTACGAGGAGTCGGTATTGTGGAGATAACTACTACAACGGGAGCTAGACTACGGGCTAGGCACGGATGCTTGTGTGATCTCTGCGTTCTCTGTTCCTTAGTCGTTTTCCTAGTGCACAAACTGCTTGCTAGGTCACGGGGCAATTTGGCAAGAGTTTTACTAGAGAAAGTTGACAACAATGGTATATTGAAGTTGGCAAGACAAGACTATATCAGAGCTAGCATTCAGGTCGGTCGATCAATCGGGCATCCACAGTGCAGATCTACTGACACCCCCCCACACTGGGAGGCCCAGGACTAAGCACAGCGGCAACGGCCTACATATGCATACACCGGGAATCAAACCCAAGACCGCTCTGATACCATGTCAGAATCCCAACCACTAGACCATTGGGATAAAAGGGCTTGTTTCAGTAGCGGGTCAGTGCGCTCATAACCCCCCAGGCGAACGCGTCTGTAACCCTCTCCAGGATCAATCGGGCATCCACAGTGCAGATCTACTGACACGCACTCCAGCGGTGAAAAGTCCACGGCGTGCCAACGCTGCAGGTTGACGGCGTGCCAGCGTTGCTCCCGCAGAACAGCAACGCACTTACCTCGCAGGTGCTCGCATATGATTGGCGGGCTAAGCCTAGTCACCTGCACAACGCACACATCGTGTCATCCTCGTGCTGACGACTCCACCTGATCCGCCACGTCGACCTCGGGACCCCACCCCCGAGGTCAGCCTCGCCAACATCGCATGGGCGATCGTCGCAGTCTTCCAAGCGAGGACGGGCCAACAACAACTCCCGTTGACAGGTATGTCAAGGGCGTCGGGATATCTTTAAGGGGCTACCAGCATGGCACAAAGATGGGGAGAAGCGGCTGCCAATAACTCCAGCTCAAACTGCCTGTGCCTAGGACGTCACAACCAAGAGAAGACTCACCCCTGACGGATAGAGGACAGGCAGCCACCACTCGGGTGGCGTAGTCAAGGCGGCGGGTGGTAGCAAAGTCAGCGACAGCGACAGTAAGAGCAGAGATAGACGACAGAGAGGCACGAGGGTCAGGGACAAGCGAGGCGAGAACACGAGTGACGACATGACGTGCAACATGGTAGAAGTCAGTGATAGGGTGCGCGGAGGAGGCTATAAAGGACGAATCAAGGGTCAGATCGAAAAATGAGGAGGAGAATGAGGAAGACTAGAACAAAACAAGAAAGAGCGGAGGTCGGTGACTGGGGACGAGGGACGAGCACGAGGGGGACAACGATTGGCTCAAGTGTGTGGGACAACAGGAGGAGTCGACTCGGACTGAAGAGGTGAGAAAACAGCCAGAGAATCGGGTGGCGTAGTTAAGGCGGCGGGTGGCAGCAAAGTCAGCGGCAGTGGCCGTAAGAGCGGAGATAGATGACAGAGAGGCACGAGGGTCAGTGACAAGCGAGGCGAGAATACGAGTGACGACAGGACGTGCGACATGGTAGAAGTCAGTGATAGGGTGCGCGGAGGAGGCTGTAAAGGACGAATTAAGAGTTGATGGGAGCAAAGACTGAGGAGGAGAATGAGGAAGACTAGAACAAAATAAGAAAGAGCAGAGGTCAGTGACTGGGGACGAGGGACGAACACGAGGGGGACAACGATTGCCCCAAGTATGCGAGACAACAGGAGGAGTCAACTCGGACTGAAGAGGAGAGAAAACAGTCAGAGACGGGTCTGGGGGAGGTAACGGATGACCGGAAATAGGAGGAGACGATGAAGTGTCTAGAGAAGGGGAAGGAAGACCAAGGGCCCAAAGGCTACTCACAAGTGGAAACAACTGTTGCAAAGGTGGTTGCTGCGACTGCTGATGCTGCTGCTGCTGCTGCTGGCGCAACTGCTCCTGCGGCTGGTGCTACTCCTGCTGCTGCTGCTCCAGCTCTAGCCTCTGCTGCTTGAAACTCTCCTACTCCTCACGCTCCAGCCGACGAAGCTCCTAGAAACGCGTCGGGTAGCGGTGGGGAGTCGGAGTAGGCACCGCAAAATTAGCGCCTCCAGCTCCAGCCCCCTCAGAACTAGCACCTCTAGTGCCAGTACCGACGACTCCAGCACCCCCAGACCAGAACTGACACCCCCAACGCTAGAAACGACAGCTCTAGCACCCCCAGCATTAGCGCCTCCAGCTCCAGCACGCCCAAAACTAGCACCACTAGTTCCAGTATCTCTAGCTCCAGCACCCGCAGAATTAGCACCGACATGAGTAGGCGATTCCGACCGAGGAGGAGAGAAAACAGCTAGAGACGGGTCCGGGATAGGTAACAGAGGATCGGAAATAGGAGGAGACAGTGGACGATCTAGAAGAGGGGAAGGTTGACCAAGTGCTCGAAGGTTACCCACAAATGGAGACAACTGCTACAAAGGTGGCTGCTGCGGCTGCTGCTGCTACTGCTACACCTACTGCTGCTGCTACTGCTACACCTACTGCTGCTACAACTCCTGCTACTGCTACTCTAGCTCCAACCTCTCCTGCTCCTCCGAACCAACAACTCCAGCCCCAGCACCTCCAGAATTAGCACCTCCAGTACCAGCACCTCTAACTGCAGCACCCCCAAAACTAGCACCTCCGGTGCAAGGACCTCCAGCTCCAGCACCCTCAAACTAGCACCTCCAATGCGAGTACCCCCAGCTCTAGTACCCTCGGAACTAGCACCTATAGCGCCAGTGCCCTCAGCTCCAGCACCCTCAGAACTAGCACCTCCAGCGCCCGTGCCTCCAACAACAACACCCCTAGAGTCCACTACACCCTGTCGCGGTAGTGCCAAAGGCTACTACAGTGACTGTGAGGACACCTGTGTGGAAGTGGGGGGTACCTGACGTGCTATCGAGGGGAGAGGGGTAGCGTGGGACACACTTGACGGGGCAGGATCAGCGGGGGCCGGGTGTACAGAAGGAGCTAGAGCAGGAAGAGGAGTGGGGGAAAGGAAAAGGGGAGGGGGGGCAACAGGGAGGCCTTGACAGGGGTAGCGAGCATAGTAGGACACATACTCGTCAAACTGAAATTCGCGAGAGTCGAGGAACTGGTGGAGGGGTGGGTGATAAAATGTGTAGGCAGAAGAGCCCACCGGGAAACCAAGGAAGACACAGGGGAGGACGCGAGCAGAAAGCTTGTCCGCAGAGGTGACGCGAACAAGCGCAAGGCAGCCCCAGACACGAAACTCTGACGCAACACTAGGGGACCTGGTCCAAAGACTAGTCGGTGAAGCCTCTGGCCATGAGACACGAGGCCAGAGGTTCAGCTGGTGGGCGGCGTAGCGAACCGCGTAGGGCTACAGAAAATGGAGCGCACGTGCATGTATTATGGAGGTGCGGGCGATTGCCTTGACCAAGCCTATGTGGCGCTCAGCAACCCTGTTCTGCTGTGGAGACTCTTGAAGCGTCCATAACTAGGTGATGCCATGCTCACTAAAAAATCCGCAAAGAATGTCGGAGCGAACTTCATCCCCACGTTCGAAGTGGAGACAAAGGATATGACTACCACGAGTGGCCTCAGTGGCCAGTATCCACCTGACTAACGTAGAAGTTACACCGAATCTATTCACCAAGGGGAACACAAGAAAGAAGCTCTCCCTCTCAGGCCCACTGCAAGTGGCGGGGACCTAGACGTCCAAGTGGAGAGTTTGGAAGGGTGCGGTAACGGCCTACATATGCATACACCGACCTTGGAGAGCCGCCTCGTTCTCCTCCGGTCCTGTACGTAGACAACAAGGCCATGTTGGCCTTGTGTCGAGAGCAGCGACTAGAGCACAGAACAAAGCACATTGCTCTCCGCTACTTCCTTGCTCGTGATCTACAGCAGCATGGACAGTTGCGGCTTGCGTACGTGGCCTCTGAGGCCAACACTGCTGATGTCTTCACCAAGGCACTTGCGCCTTGTGATCATCAGCGCTTCTGCACTCAGCTGGGTCTTGTGCCTGTCTTGCCTCACTTGCTCTCCTCTTGATCTTGCTTGTACTGTGACATATATATATACCTGCTCTTGCTTGTCTAGCTTTATATATATGTATGTACTCTTGCATGTGAACTGGCCTTGTGCCCTTGACCTTGTGCTCGGACTGTGTGGTGACTTTGAGATCCACCCTGAGCTTGCCTTGCTTTGCTTTGCTTGACTGGTCTTGTGACCCCTTGTTCTCCCCCACTTTGCCTATGGGGGTGTGTCAGAACATTATAGCTTATGCATGTTGTGTAGGCTATAGTGGGGTATCCCTTAGGGGGTACAACCCAATTAGGGTTAGTACTTGTACTCACTTCGTTCATAGTTCATTCATTTCTCGTTTCAGTTTTCTCATGGTATCGAGCAGGTTCCCTCGTGGGAACTATTCCTAGGGCCCACCAACTCGATATTTTTTTTCCTGCCCGGAGCGCGCTCAGCCCTAGCCCGAGTCGCGCTCCCCTTTCTCGACCCAGTCGCGCCGCCCTAGCGGCCTCGTCGCCTACCCCACGGCCATCGCGCCGCACTTTCCCGGCCCCGTCGCCCTACCTGCGCCCCGGCCCCATCGCCCCACCTGCGACCCCGGCCCCGTCGCCCTACCTGCGACCCCGGCCCCGTCGCCCTACCGGCGACCCCGGCCCCGTCGCCCTACCTGCGACCCCGGCCCCGTCGCCCCACTGCGACCCTGGCCCCGCCGCCCTACCTGCGCCCCGGCCCCGTCACCCTACCTGCGCCCCAGCCTAGTCGCCCTACCTGCGCCCCGGCCCCGTCGCCCCACCTGCAACCCAGGCCCCGTCGCCCCACCTGCGACCCCGGCCCCGTCGCCCTACCTGCGACCCCGGCCCCGTCGCCCCACCTGCGCCCCGGCCTCGTCACCCTACTTGCGACCCCGGCCCCGTCGCCCTACCTATGCCACGGCCTCGTCGCCCTACCCTCGACCTGGCCCCGTCGCCCTATCTGCGCCCCGGCACCGTCGCCCTACCTTCTACCTGCGGCCCAGCCGCCCTACCAGCGGCCCCGCCGCCCTACCAGCGGCCTTGCCGCCCTACGCAGCCGAGCCGGCCGCACCGCCTGAGCCGCCTGAGCCGTTCGAGCCGCCCGAGCCGCCTGAGCCGCCCGAGCCGCCCACGCCGTCCGAGCCGCTCGAGCCGCTTGAGCTGCTGAGGAGCCGAGCCACGGGTGTCGCCGAGCCGCAGTAGCTGCCGAGTCGCCCGAGCAGCCGTGTTGCCGAGCTGCTGCACTACCGAGCTGCCCGAACCGCCCTGTCTGGTGAGAGCAGCGCCTCTGTCACTGCACTGCCCTCCCCCCTACTGTTTGCACTGCTAGTCTACTGTGGTCATGGCTACCCCTAGTGTCCTCGCCTTTGACGCTGAGGGTCGGGCCATTGACTTTGAGGTCTGGGTTGATGACCTGCAGTTGTTCTTACAGTGCGATAGGGCAGACGGCCTCTCTCTCTTTGACCTCACCTCTGGCGCTTCCCCTGCCCCTGCTGCTGATGCTGACGCCTCTGTTAGCTCCCAGTGGGCCACACACGACGCTGGTGCACGTCTTGTTGTGCGTCGCCACCTCCCTACCTCCGAGCGTGCGCACTTTAGTCAGTACAAGAGTGCTCAGACCTTGTACGACGCTGTAGTCGCACGCTACTCCTCCCCTGCCACTGCTGCACTGAGCCGTCTCATGCTACCGTACCTCTTTCCTGACCTTGCTGCCTTTCCCACGGTAGCTGACCTCATTACGCACCTCCGCACTAGTGACACTCGCTACCGCGCTGCACTTCCTGCTGACTTCTGCGCCAAGAACCCCCCCCCCCCATGTACATCACTCTCTACTACATAGTCACTCGCCTCCCTGACTCCCTTCATGTAGTCAGGGACCACTTCCTCTCAGTCTGTCCCACCACTCTCACTGTCGACCTCCTCAAGAAGGCCCTCCTAGCGATACAGAAGAGCATAGTCGCTGTAGGAGCCTCTCGAGGTGACCCGCGCACCCCCATCTTTGAGGGGTGTTCCCCCTCCCCCCTTCTGCCCTCTGTTGCCTCTGCTGCTGCAGCTGACCTCCTTGGTCTTGAGTCGGTCGGTGCGGCGTCTGCCCTTAGCAGGAGACGTCGCCCTGGCAAGGGCAAGGGGGGCAAGGGCGCTGGAGGAGCGAGCGGGGGCGGTGGAGGTGGAGGTGGCGGCGGTGGGGGGAGTGGGGGTGGCGGTGGGAGTGGAGGTGGGGGTGGAGGGATCGGTGGCGGCAGTGGAGGCGGCGGCGGCGGCGGTGGCGGTGGGAGTGGAGGTGGCGGAGGTGGCGGCGGTGGAGGCGGAGGCGGAGGCGGCGGCAGCAGCGGAGGCGGCAGAGGCGGCGGGGGTGGCGGTGGAGCTGGTCGCGGGTCTTCGCAGAGGAGTGGCTCCGGTGGTGGCTCGCGCCAGAAGCAGCAGCGCGGTCGTGAGACCCTGTCCCCTCAGCAGCTCTGTGAGTGGTACACTGCACGCCAGCGGGGTGGGGGTTTTGGTCCGTGCTCCTACGTTCTGCGCACCGGCGACCGTGCGGGTGAGCAGTGTGGGGGAGCCCACCCCACCCAGCGCTTCTTTGGCCGCCTGACGGACGCGTGGCGTCACCAGTTCTCGGAGGCCTCAGAGATCCCTCGCTGGGGCGAGCTGTCTAGGGCGGGTGTTGCCATCTATGATCTTGACTTTGATGCTATTCTCTCTGCCATGTATGCTGTGTCTATTAGTGATGAGGGTGACTGTTACCGGTGTTTCCCGCCCGATCCGTGCATTGAGACTGCTGCTCTAGGTACTGGTGAGGAGGCTGCCCCAGGTGCTTGCAACGCTGCTGCTCTAGGTGCTAGTGTGTCTGCGTCCTCAGGTACTGGTGAGTCTGCGCTCCAAGTCGACGAGCTCAGCAACGAGGGTAGACGCAGCAGTAGACTCGAAAGAAGGGTCAGTGACGACAGTAGCAAGGAGACGCGTGACAGTAGGACTGGCAGCACGAAGAGAGTCCGACTCCGGGTCGGCAAGAGCAGGAAGAGAGGACTCAGGAGGAGAAGGCAAAGGGGCATGCAGAGGAGCAGTACACGGACGCAGAGACATCCTGTGTGTGCCAGGGACAGGAGGAGGACGCGGACGCAAACCACGACCACAAGCGCGAGCAGGACGGACAGGCAACGTAGGGCGAGACGCAGGCTCACGACGCTCAGTAAGACCTCTAGTAGGACCAGCGTATGGAGAAGGAGCAGGCAAAGGGGAGGTAGGCTGTAACTGTTGAGGGGAGGAGGAGGAGGGGCTGTGAGAGGAGTGGAGATAGGAGGCGGCAGGTGAAGCTGCAGTCACACGAGCAACAGGAGCGGCGCGCACAGTGGCTACCGAGCGCACGAGGGCACCAGACTACGGGAGTATCTGGCTCCGCGGCTACGACGAGCGGCAGAAGCAACGGACCCACACGCGACTGGCGAAGCAGCTCGCTGGGCTACGGAGAGCTCGAGGGCCCCGGACTACTGGCGCTGCTGACGACACGACGGCGACCTCCGCTCTACTTCCCCTAATAGTCCCACACCCCCTTCTCACACACCCCCTTGCTGCACCCCTGTCTCCAATCCCCCTTAGCTCCACTCCCCTCGGCTCCCACACATCCACCCCGCTTCAGCAGCAGCTGCAGAAGTGGGAGACGAAGAAGGAGGAGGAGGAGGGGAAGGGTAGCACCCACACTCATCACCCCCACATTCGCCACCCCCATACCCTCCCCTCCACGGCAGCATGAGGGCAGGCGTGGGTGAGGCAGGGGCGGCTGCACGAGGGCAGGCGCAGATGAGGCAGGGGCAGCTGCACGAGGGCAGACGCGGGGGCAGCCACTCGAGGGCAGGCGCAGGTGAGGCTACTGCAGGGGCGGCTGCTCTAGGGGCCACGGGCGGCTGCTCCAGGGGCCACGGGCGGCTGCTCTAGGGGCCAGGGGCGGCTGCTGTAGTGGCGGCTGCTCCAGGGGCCAGGGGCGGCTGCTGCAGGGGCGGCTGCTCTGGGTCCAGGGGCGGCGTCACTGGTGCAGAGCAGGCCCGCGCGCTGCTGCAAAGCAGGCACGGGCGCAGGTGAGGCAGAGGCGGCAGCCAGGGGAGGGTGCGCCACGACGAGCAGGGACGGCGCCCAGGGGGCGCCGCGACGAGCAAGGACGGCGTCCAGGGGGCGCCGCGACGAGCAGGGGCGACGTCGCGCGGGTCCCGCAGGGGCGTTGCGACGAGGCAGCGGGGGCCGCGCGCGGCTTCCTTGGGCGCCGGGACGGGATAGCGGGGGTTGCGGGGCGACGCGACGGGCTCCCGGGGGGCGACGCGACCGTCGACGGGGGGGGACGCGCGGGTCCCCGGGGTGGCGCATGAAGCAGGAAGCCGCCACGCGCCTCGGCGCGCACGGCGGGCAGAAAACCACCACGCGCCCCGAGCGTGTGGCGAGAAGAAAAAAGCGTCGCGCGCCACGGGGCGCGCGACAGACACGAAAGCAGCGGAAGCACGTGGGGCCCACAGGCCAAGAGCGTAACAACTCTGATTCCATGTCAAGATACTAAGCTAGTTGTGCTTAGGAGCCATGGCTAGAGTGGCTTAGGAGCTTAGGTTTTGGGGTTGAAGAGAGATGTCGAGAGAGTTTAGGAAGAAGAAAAGTTGCTTCACAAAGAAAGATGAGTACGAGGTATAGCAAGAAGAAGCATGGTGGACCACCTACAGCAAATTTGGATGTGCTACACTCTACACTGTAGACAATTATAAAGAACATATATAAATATAGTTCAACACCTGGAGGCCGTAGTCCTGAATGTGGAATCTCGAGGGTTTTCCAGAGGCTTGCTGGCTACTAGAACTGATGGTGCAGTGGTCAGATAGCTGGTGATTACTGGCATTCCAAGAAGTCGTGTCCGCATAGTGAAAAGGCAATTGTATTGAGTTGTACCAAGAGAGATACGGATGGAAGGGGTATACGTGACGAGGCGATATGTGTTATCAGAATGCTGGCTGGTAAGATGTCAAAATAACAAAAACTCCTGGAGAACTTTTGTAAGGGGTTGCTCCGCGTTGACAATGGAGTTACTCGAAAGAAATCCGTGATGTTACTATAATGTGAACGCGGTGACGTCCTAAATATTGAAAATAGGTAACCGGAAGGAAGAGCGACGCGGCCGTAAGAGCTTACAGCATTTACTTGTGATTATAACGGTGGCGACTAGGACTGCTGACACGATTAGCGTCTGCTGCCATTTCATTACTTTCGCTATACGCTCAGCAGCAGACAGCATGGTAAATGACTGATGTGCTTTCCACGTATATCTCGCTCCGATAATTTACCATTGGTAGTTGTAATTTCTCCTCAAGTTAAAGCTCGCGGCCCAAATTGTTCAACCTTAGTAAGGTTGACCTTTGGGTGGTGAGAGAAGAAGTTGACTTGTTGGGAGTTGGGCTGTTTGCTTTCGCCCAGTTTCGCGCTAGACCCTTGGGGTTTTCGTTGACACGGCAAACCGCTGGGAGCAACCTGGGTTTGCTTCGAGAGTCCCAAATTGCAATCAACATATTGTTGCTGTTCCCTGCTCTCCCATTCGACAAAAAATATCTGGCCAATCAGATTGCATCTCACTTCTCGTAACCACCCTTCGCAACCCAAACAGCACTCAAAACATCACCCCCGTCAACCTCAAAATATATGGGCTTTCGACGATTCACGAGGATGAGTCACTCATTAGTTTCAAATGGACTTGGAAGCACGAACCGCGATGAACACGGTTTAAAACATTACAGAGTGGTGAAGAACGGTTTTTTGTTACCACCGCTTTCGACCATTCCGCACCAGACTGATGCAACGAACGAAAAGGACCTGGCGCCTCAATTCAACGCAAGCTTGTGCGAGCTCGCCTTTCACCAACAGCAGACGATGGAGATGGCATGGCAGTCAGCTCTGTTGATTGGTCGGTACAGTGCTTGTCAGAAGCCGCGTAGAGCATCCCGCCGATTCCCTTGAGTCAGAGAATCATCCAAGGGCGCCCCAATCCCGAAGGCTCCCCTTCCAGCCACACCGCTCAGCCCACGCCTGAGCGAGCTGAGCAGGTTCGGAAGCGATGCGTGTACTAACCTTTTAAGAAAGTGCGAGTCAGCTACGTACTATCCAAATAAAGAAAAAGCATCCTTGATTTTGATTTACTAAAGTGAATAGAGCGGAATTCTTTCAAGCATCCTACAAAAATTTCCACTCTACATCCTTGTTGTGGAAAACGTATTCATCGCTGCTCTCAGAAACATCTATCTTAACACCATGACCGGCTGTATGATATCCGCATTCATGTTCTCCCTGTACGTAGCTTCTAGACTGGAGACACCAAACACATCGAGCAGCTGCCAGCCCTCGAGCAGCAGAGGCATGCAGATGGGACCGTACACGCGATGCGCATTGAACACCAGCGTGTCGTTGCCCACTGGGAGCCCCAGGAAGAAGAGCCCTCCTGGCTTGAAGAGGCCCCTGATCTGCACAGCAGCAAAAGGGAGGACGGGAGGCCAGCGAATGGCAATGCATGAGACGTGAGAAGATAGTACATGCATTGAGTATTGAACGCACAATGTGTCGTTGATCTAAGAAGCTGCAAGGGAAGGAAGGGATGCTCGGGGGCATGTCAGCTACGGGAAAATGTCTAAGGACATGGGAGAATCTGAGGTCTGGAACGTCTCAATCAACTCAGAGAAACACCACTCCGAGGACGTGGCAGCGAATGGGAAATGCCAAATGACATGGGAGAATCAGAGTTTGGGACGTCTCAAAACTTTGAGGACATGCCAACGAGGGAAAATGTCAAAGCACATGGGATCACATGGCTTGGGAGGGATGGCAGGGCGTGGTGGAGACTTTTGATGCGGCTCCAATCGCAGACAGGGAGGAGATGCAGGAGGACATGGCAGCAACGGGTAAGACATGGAACGATGTGAGAGTGGATGGCTTACTAGGGGTATCAGGACATGGTAAGGGCCCGCATGCATCAGCTGATGCAAACACGTGGAAGAATGCAGGAAAGATTAGCAAAGAAGAAACATGCGGGAAGCATGGTTAAACAACCCGTACCATGGAAATCGCACCCCACTCACAGCATCTAACACCTCAGCAAACTCACCTTCGCCATTCTGAGTCGATCCCTATCCGGGTTTAGCGGATCGCCATCTCCCCAGCCCATCGTGCTCCAGCGTCGAATATGAAGCTACCACGTCAAAGGTTCCATATGTAACATCCAGCTCGGCAATATTCCACAGCCGCAATCCCGGATAATCCGCAACCGGTTTGTTGAAATCAACGTTCGTCATTGACCCAGCTTTAAATGCCAAGAGAATCCCCTCAAGCCAATAGAGTTGACTCCCCACCACCAGCACCGATTTCCCTTTCACTTGATACTTGTCTAACACCTCGTAAAACGATAGGGTGCTATTGACTCCATAAGGGCAAACTTCAGGGGCTCGCTCCTCTGCCATTCGCCGATATTTGTCGATTTCTTCGCTTGGCCAGACGAACTCCTTCGCTCCGGAATCGTAGGAATCCATTCCGCGGAAATTTTCAACGGCCTGGATCGAGCCGTTGATAGTAAACTCATCGCGGACGAACGGTCGGATGTACGTCCAGGGGATGGGTCCCTGGAGGCCGTAATCCCGAATGTGGAATCTCGAGGGTTTCTGAGAGCCTTTCTGGTCACTGGCAGTGATGGTGCCGTCAGTTGACGGTCGGCTCGCATTGTCATTCTACGAAGCCGTGTCTGCAGGAAACATCACGGATATGAGTTGTACAAAGGATTGAGGATGAAAACGTTAGGAATTTACGCAATAAGACTAAGTGTGGTATGATGGTGTTACTACTACGTCTTAGGAACAAAAATCGTCAAGAAAGTTTGTAATGCTGCTCCCCAAGTTGTGACAATGGGAACTTGAAGGGGATGTGTGAATGAGCGGATAATGAAAGAATTTGAGAGGAAAGAAACGCGACTCGGGCGTCTGGGCTTACAGCATTGGCTAGTGATTATAACGGTGGCGATCAGGACTGCTGAGACGATTGCCGTTTGCTGCCAGTTCACCACTTTCACCATACACTCTGCTGCAGCTAGCATGGTGAATGACTGACTACTGATGTACTAATGATCTCGCTCGAATTTATCACCGATAATTTAACTTGTCGCCTCGGATCGAACTGACAAGTCTGAGGCAACGAAGACTGCTACAATTCGATTGAGCAAGTCTCATCAGTTTCAAACCGTTTTGGAAGCACGCAGGCAAAGAAGACTGCTACTATTAGCTACTTCCAGACTAATAGGAGCAATGCATGGAGACAGCTCTAGCGATCTGACCAAAGAAACCAGTTCATGGTTTCCGTAATGTAAATCGTTTAGCATTAAAAAATACATCTACCATATTAACATATGTATTTATTTCTATACTAGATGTCATGTATATATACGACATAGTCACTTATCCAATACTAAACTCGACAAGGGTTCAATAACACAAATCAAGGATTTGCATATGAAAACCTGACCTAGGCATTCTTATTTTATATCCCTACTTTCATTCTATGCGCAATCAATTCAACCTCTCGTAACGGATTTACCTGTATTGTGTTTCACTTTTCCTGTGTGCCACAACCTTGATATGAAAGTCCTTTGACGGAGTTTCTGTGCGTTTTCAGTGAAGCTGTAACAAGTATTGGCGCTGAAGGTAGGGCCACAGTGGTTTGGGAACAGTGGGTCGTCAAGCCACCCGGAAC